CGATCGCACTCCGATCGATGTCGCTCAAATGGGAGTAGCTTTCACGGGTTCCGTGAAATCTTTCGCCGTCTACATCGTCCAACATGTTCATGTTGGGCGATGCGAGTGTGGTCCTTGGACGGAATATAAAGTGCTACCAGGTGTAACGGGGCACCGATGACAACGTACTGGTTGACCAGTACGGAGTATACTTCCACTGACGACAGTGGTCGACAGTGGTCGACAGTGCCCTGCTAGGTGTTTAAGGAACACATAGGAAGGAATGGAGACTAAGTAGTCAGACTAGTCTCTTGGTAAAAGTAAAACTGTATTGATATAATTAAGTACTATAACTTCTTGAATCTCTGTTTGTATTGACTTAATTATGCGAATATAACTATATGTATGATGGCGTCTACTCACCACCCATTGCGCGCGTCTAGCAGCAATTTGTGAGTTGATATCATCACGATATCAACCAATGAGTAGACTCTTCGGTCATCCCAACATTATCACCATGTCTATGATATTGTTAAAAGAATATTCAACGTAATATTCTTTATTGTCAGATTGTTTTATTGACAATTTCATGTAACGGGCTACCCCATTACATGGGAGGTATTGAAGACGTTCTTTGCGAAGAAGAATCTTCGCAATCGAGTGCAACTTCGGAAGGAACTCCATGAATTTGTGATGGAGACTGGTACGAGTCTTATGGATCATCTACTAAAGTTTGATGAGCTGTGTCTAAAGCTCAGGGCTGCCGGTGACAGCATTGATGATGATGAGAAGTTGGTTTTACAATTGGGAAGCTTGTCATCTCACTATGATGATATGGTGCGCATAATTGAGGCACATAACAACGTATCGCTTCTGTACGTAAAAGAGATGCTTCGACGTGAGTACGTCACTCTTCAGAAGCGAGACAAAAAGAAACCTCCTTCAAGGCGCATGCTCAGCACAATGTACCTCGACGCTTTCAAGGTGGACAAGGAGAAAATCGAGATCGCTACCAACTTTCTAGAAGAGGAAAGGCTGATGAGGAGTTTCAAGGGAAGTGCTTTGGATGTGGACGGCACGGATACAAAAGATCGCAGTGCCGTAACGTGAAGCCATCGAGACCTGGTGATGAATTTGTTTTCTCAGCATTCAGTGACAAACCAATTTCGAATTCGACTTGGTTTCTGGATAGTGGGGCAAGTCGTCATATGACTGATGACAAACGTGAATTCGTGGAGTTCGAACTTTTGACTCCCCTATCTACATCACTGTGGCAAATGGACAGCAGTTGAAGGCACAAGAAACAGGCACAGTACAATTTCTACTCGAGATCGGTCGGAAAATTAAGCTGACGGAGGTGTTACATGTGCCTGGACTAGACAAGAAGCTTGTGTCGGTAGTGGCGCTGACAGCCCGAGGCGTGCTTGTTAAGTTTAAGCGCGATCAAGCAGTCCTGATGAAGGACAACGTAATTATAGTAGTTATTGAGCGATTGGGAAAGCTGTTTGCGTGGAATGTGAAGCAACATATCACATTTGACGCATTCAAGGCTGATAGCAATGTCGGGATCAATGACACTAGTGGACTATGGCATGCTCGCCTTGGTCATGTGTCTTCGAACAAGGTCATGCAAGCGATGAAGTCTTGCGATGGTATTACGGAAGTTGTTGCACCTGATGATGGTGTATGTGATGGATGTTCACGCGGGAAAATGACAAACAGCCCGTTCAGTCATGCTTCAGGAAGTGAAGTCAAGACGAGTCGACCACTCGAGATCGTGCACAACGATCTTATGGGTCCTATGAACCCGAAATCGAAAGGAAGAGCTCTACACATACTCACAATTATCAACGATTAGAGCCGATATGTCTACGTTTACTTGCTGGCAGCAAAGAATCAAGATTTCGAACGTTTTCATACGTTCCGTGCTATGGTGGAGACGCAAACGGATTGCAAGATTAAGTGCATCCGTAGTGACAATGGTGGGGAGTATGTGAATCATCGCTTCAACGAATACCGTTCTGATCGAGGTATCATCCACCAGACAAGCGCGCCGTACAACCCTCAACAAAACGGATTAGCAGAGAGGATGAATCGAACTCTTGTCGAGATGGCCCGTTCGATGATGTACTACATGGAAATTAATCGTTCTTGGTGGGGTGGGGCGGATATGGCGGCATCTCACACCATCAATCGAATTCCGAACACTGCTCGACCTAACATAAGTCCATTCGAAACGTTGGACCGAAGCCAGACTTGAGCCATTTTCGTGTCTTTGGTTCGACCGGGTATCTACGAGACGCGGATTGTAAGCGAACGAAATGGGACAGCAAGGCAAACAAGTGCATCTTTCTTGGATATTCAGCAACGTCCAAGGCATACCGAGTGTGGGATCTGGTGAATGAACAATTGGTAATGACCAGGTCCGTTCAATTGAACGAGCGACCTACTTCGCAGTACAAAGATGTTGTTGTTGTTCTACGTGAGCCTATATCTCACTGTAGGCACTCTCATGATGAACGCGACAAAATAAATGTGAACGTACCTCGCACGAAGGAGAATCAAGAGGTTGAAGATATGGACATTGACGAGATTTTTGACAATCAACAAAGTTGGAAAGACATAATCGTGGATGCGTCTGGAGATTTCAATCTGTCACACGATTTAGATGCTGTTCCAATTGCGGGGGAGTTCACGGATATGCATTCTATTGACATGAACGATTCGATGATCGGTCGCACACCACACGAAACGGTCGCTGTAAGTGGAGATAATAACACACACATGCTCCAAAGGCTTCCAAATCAGTCGCAAGCTATTGTAATCTGTGAGAATCCTCGCTACCAAAATGGCCGACTGGAGATTTACTCGGTGTCGAACAAAATGTCTCATAGTACGTCAACTCATCTACTCACTAATGACGGATTTGATGATGAGAAGATTGATTTAATAATTCTGACTGATGGATCGCCGGTGGACAGCGAACACGATGAGCCGGACCCCAAAAGTCAATGTGTTGGCGATTACGAAATTTCGCTTTCTGCTACTGATGTACTGATAAAATTTACGAGAGGAGCTGCGGTCAAACGACGCGGAACAGTGGGAAGCAGCAATTAAAGCAGAAATTAAAGCCCATATGAAGAAATACACATGGGACACCGTCTATCGTCCTCCAGGCGTCAACTTTATAGGCCACAAGGGGGTAGTAGGGCACAAGTACGATGAAAAGGGTGGTATTGTTCGTAACAAAGCGCGTTTGGTTGCCCTCGGATATCTGCAAACGCATGTTTTTGATAACTTTGACACGTATTCACCTGCTACGTGCTCAAACACGATTCGTGTGTTCTTGTCGGTTTGTTGCAGCACGCAATATGTTATTCGGCAATTTGATGTGGAAACAGCGTTTTTGAATGACGATTTGGACAAAGATGTTCACATGGAGCCACCGCTTGGAATTGAGATTGCGCCTGGAATGGTGTGCAAACAACGACGCATCTTGTATGGGTTAAAACAAGCGGCTGAGGTTTGGGACCAGAAAATATGCTCTGTGTTTTCTGCCATGGGCTTTATACAATGTCGTGGATACACATGTCTTTTTGTTCGACGCAATCATACAAACAATAAGTCACCCACATCCATAGTGTTGTACGTGGACGACCTACTGATCGGATGCAAGTCAGATGCAGAGGTGGGCTAGACTTTCAACGATTTATAAGAGCATTTTACTGTGAAGTCACTTGGAGCTGCGCGATTTATTTTAGGCATGGAGGTGAATTACTTACGAGAACAGGGAGAATTGATGCTAAAACAGTCCAAATTTATCATGAAGTTGGTCTCGAAGTTTAAGCAGAGTGGATCTTACGCAGTACGCAACCCTATTTGCGCAGGACAAGACCTTACTCCAAAAATTCACACCCTGTGCCAAAGGACATCACTTCGTTTAACAAATTGGTTGGTTCCCTGTTGTACATTGCAAATGCAACACGACCGGACATTCGCTACGCGATATCAGTGTTATCGCAGTAATTGGACCAGCCACGACAGATGCACTGGCGCGCGACTTTACGCGTTTTGCACTATCTCATTGGAACACAATCGCACGGAATTGCGTACAAGAAATCGGACGACAATGAGATGATGATTTGGGCATATTGTGATGCGTATTGGGGAAATGATAAGAAGACTCGTCAATCTACGTCTGGCGTGTTGATTTTACTCGGGAATGCTGTTGTGGTGTAGAAAAGCAAACGCCAAACTTCGGTGAAATTAACTTCTGCAGAAGCGGAATATATGGCACTGGCGCTAGCGACACAAGAAGTCTTGTGGATCCGTTACTTGCTGAAGGAGATGGGTGTCACGTGCAAGACAGCAACTACGGTGCACATGGACAATAAGTAGGCGGTAAGTATTGCAACGAACCAGGGATATACACCAAGAGCTAAGCACATTGACCTCAGGGTGCATTTCGTGCGAGACCACATCGAACAAGGTCAGATCCAGCTCAAGCATGTTCTGTCAGCTATGCAACTTGCTGATTACCTGACAAAGCCACTTGGTGCTCCACAATTGATGCGACTACGCGATAAAAGTGGAGTTCGCGAGAGTGTAAGTTGAAGGGGAGTGTAGAGGATTTCGAGTGACGACGTGATGGGCATGTCGTGAAAAGGGGAACTTGCAAGGACCGTGATATTCGAATGACCTGGATTGAGCGATCGATTTATGCAAATATTTATCGATTCACTTAAGTAGTAGTTTAACTCTTAATACTACCTTCCATTTCGCAGCACAGAGAGGGAGTTGAGGTTTCGCTATTGTTCATCGGTCTGTCCTGCAGCCATTTCCCCATAAGTACGAGACGGCCGTCTGCCGCCAGCGGTCCACACGCTCGTCCTCCGCCGCAGTCGCTGCCGAAACTGTCGCGCACTAAACGGAGTGGCGCCGACAGCGCCCAACGGACACAGACAGACAGCCGACGCACTCACTCACTGGCAGTCAACGGACCCGCCACCCACAGCGGTGAGATGGCTACAGTGGGAACGACGGTCCACCCTCCGAAAGCGCGCCGCGACGTGGAGGACGCGTTCTCATTGGCCAAATCTCCGCGTCGAGACCCGCCCGCCCCCATTCCACCTTCGCCAGTGTCCCCGACGCCGACATGGGGCAGCGCAGCAGCACATTGCGCCGCGACAGCGACGCGTCGGCGGACGGCTCTTCGGCGTCGCGAGTCGCGTCTTCGTCTTCCGCCGTCGCTGCGGAGCGCTCTGCGCTCGCGGTCCGTGATTGCGCTTCAACGACTGTGCAGCGAGAAGAAGAAGTAGGAGAAGGAGAAGAAGAAGGAGAAGAGACAGAGACGTTTGCACAGCTGACGCCGACTCGCTCCTAAGAGCGAGTACTACAGTCGGATGTTCCTCCTTTGGTTAGTGCTGCTGAGTTGTTGCGAATTTGCAGGACATTTGGAGGTTATCTGCCAGTACAGAGTCTGCATTCGAAAGTGACGTGGGATGGCATATATCAGCAGAAGACGATGGGGACATCTCGGTTTATGAATCCTCCGGTCTATTTAGTTGGACGTCATGTGGGCAGCCTCACTGAACAGCCTCACTGGGCATCCAGTCGTGCGTAAGTTGTTGGTCACTATTCGATACAGTATCCTCTGCAATCTATGAGCGAGTCGGCTACAGCGAACTGGTGCAAATGAGAGATTGGTGTACGCTTTAGTATCTATTCCTTCTCGCAAGGTGAAAGTTGGTAGGACAGGATAGTTCATAAAAGGAAGGGATATGAAACTACATCAAATTAAAGGATGTAATAAGATAGGCAATAACTAATGGGAGCCGCTATTCAATCTTCACTTTTCGCTGATCCCACTTTTCCTTCTTTTTCAAAAACATTGCATATTTCTCTCGCGCTGTAAATGGCTATATGTACATTAGTGAAAAGGCGAAATCATATTATCGTTGAAAAGTCGACATGTGTTCAGACGCTTTTTAGTTTCTACTGAATCATGGGGGACCCTCCGCAAGCGCTACCATGTCCAGGCACTGCTAATATACTTTTAGTGATGAGCACAAGTGCTTTTATTCGTCGTCAATGCTAAGAGCATCAATAATTACCAATGGAGTCACTGCGGATGTTGAAAGTGGTCGCCGACATATTTTTCTGTTGTGTCTTGCTTCTCCTAAATTGCCGCTTCGACGTACAGGCCGCAAAGAATACATCACGACGTTAAGCTACGATGAACATCGCTCAGTAGAACTCTGCGATCGGTGTCCCAGCGACAGATGCCAAAAAGCACAAACAGGACATCAACGGCTACGCTAGACAGATATATCAAAGACCCCCACTGCCGGTAGCAATTCTAGATGGTCAAAGACAATTTGTAACGGGGCAGCCCGTTACATGGAAATTGTCATTTGAAGAGATAATGACAATAAATAATATTAACTTGAATATTCTTTAAACAATATCACCAAAGTGGTGATATTGAAGGGTCGACCAAAGAGTCTGTTCATTGGTTGATATCTTGATGATATCAACCCACCAATCGCCGCAAGACGCGCGCGATGAGTGGTGACGAGACGTCACCATACACTCAGTTATATTAGTATATTTAAACTAAGTCAAACAGAGAGACAGTAGTTAAAAGACTTAATTTATTAATATAACAGTTCTACTTTTACCCTACCTACGCTTCCTCGCTCGCCACGTGTACGTCCGTCGGGGCACCCAAATCCCTTGCGTTAAGTTCACGCAAGGGTGTGCCCCGTTACACCTGGTAGCACTTTGTAGTCCTTCCAAGGACCACATCATCCAACATGAACATGTTGGATGAAGAAGACACCTTTCACGCCACGCGTGAAGGGTTTACCCATTTGAGTGACATCGAATGGGGTGCAGTAGAACGAATGAGTTCTAATGTAGGCGAACTCGCTATTAGCGCCATGTTGGAGTCTCTCAACAGAGACCAACAACATGCCGCTATAGCCAAGTTCATTCAAAATGAACTTGCCATCGAAAGGGAGAAAGTAGCCTTGCTTCACCAGCAAGGCTCTCAACAGGCCGAGCAGTTGTGAGAACACGATGCTCAACAGACGGAGCTGTTGAGACGGCAGCAATTCCATGCTACTGTGGGCGGGACGGCGCATGCGCGTCGTCCCGAAGTCATGAAAGTTGACATCTCCAAGTACAGTGGAGTCCCGGAGGACTCCCTGTTACTATGGTTCGTAGAACTCGACAGAGCCTTGAAGGCTCGTCGCGTCGAAGATGAGCAAATGAAACTCACATTTGCTCAGACCCACTTGGCAGGGCGTGCCAAAACTTGGTCCCTGGGACTCGAGAGTAGCGCCCCAAATGTGTTTAGGTCGCTAGATGACTTCAAGTACCGGCTCAGACAAACGTTTGAGCTGCCACGGGCTGAGTTCAGGGCTCGTTCAAAGCTCCTGAAACTCAAGCAGGGTAAGCGTGATGTTCACGCTTACGCACAACATATACGACTCCTTGCGAGTAGTATAACTGCTAACCCAGTACATGAACACACGTTGATTACGGTGTTCATGCAAGGGCTCGCAGAGGGGCCCGTCAGGAGCCACCTGTTCCGCCTTGAGCTGAATACGCTGGAAGATGCGATATCAGCCGCGGAACAGGAAGACTTTAGCATGAGACAGGCTCATGCTAGCTCAAACTCTTACCGTCCACCGAGACGACAAGAGATCGGAGGTCCAGAACCAATGGACCTCTGCTATGTTGAGAGCGAGAGACCTCGCTTTTCGAACAACAAGCGATTGCAGAGGTGCAATCGCTGTCAGAAGTTAGGACACTACGCATACGAGTGTAGTGCTCCACGCCCAGTACCAAACAGTACTGAGCGAAATGGACGACAATTTGCCAGAAAGGGCAATGGGCGTGGGTCCAGCGCTGTTGCGAAGCCGCAACAGCGAGACGGACCATCAAAAAATGGTCGGGGTCAGTAGGGGCGGAGCACCCTACTGATCCAGCAACCTCAAGAGAATTTGCAAATCTCTTGACGAAAGTTGCTCCAGATACACAATCATTGTGTGTCTCTGCACCTGGTGATGACGTTTCGCTCATCACCTTGAAGTTGGAAGCGACAAATGATTTGTCGCTTCGTGCCCTAGTAGACTGTGGGGCGTCGAACAACTTTGTTCGACGCCAGTCACTAGAGGGTCGTAGGCTCAAGTTCGTTGAGCGCGACATTCCCCTCACAAGGATGACGGTGCGCCTTGCAACAGGCGCATCGATAACCGTTGAGAAAGGTGTAGTAGGAATCCACTACACGTTAGAGGGCGAACAGTACGATGATGACTTCATCGTACTAGATCTGGATGACAAATTTGATGTCATCCTGGGATTACCTTGGCTCAGAAAGTACGAGCCAAGGGTGAACTGGCAGCATCGATCCGTGAAGATGCCTGCCGCTTGTTCATCAGATGGCCATCTGATGAACGTCATGGAGCGTCCACAAGCGTGTGGATGTTCTGCGAGTGAGTGCGATGGCCTCACTTGCGGTACGGTTGTTAGCACGACTGCACAAGATCACAGTGTAGTTGATCACTACACTGTGGAGCAAGCTCCCGGCGGCTGTACAGAAGTACAGGCTGCGCCGAAGGTCCACCACTCGAATAAGTCGAGTGGACCGGGACATGGATGCATGCCTAGCGGGCAGCATCTTAGAAGAAAGAAACATGTTGCCTTCAAAGGGCAAAATGGAAATCCTAGGTTGACTGGAGAGTCGACTGTAGAGGATCGGTTCCTGACTGTTGTTGCACAGCCACAGTCAGAAGACGTCGTCGGAACAAGTCCCCACGTACTTGCGAAAGGAATTCCTCAAGAGTCACTTGCTGAGGGATCAGGCCCTCAGAAACCTGAGGAAGAAAGTTCCCAGGAAGAAACCGAGACGTTGAACGTCTTGGTTAATGACGGATCAAGCGTAGGCGCTTATACGCTTGATCTGATTGTGCCTCCGAAGTCAACTTCGGAGATAACTCAGTTGCAAACGCTAGAACCGAAACGGTTATTGCGTGATCTGCGTAGTGGCAAAGTCAAGCAGATCTGCATATTCGTCACGGAGGATGAGTATGTGGCCGATATTCGGTCAGCAACAGTATTTGCTGAGAACGAACGGGTTCTCAGCAGCTCATCTATGGACGAAAGTGTCCTCGATGAGAAGACTCGGATTGAGCGATACACGTCTCAATCCTGGGAGTCACTTCAGGCAAATCCTTTGTATAAGGATTTGATCGAATTCAGGGATGTGTTCCCTGAATCCGTACCTTGCGAGTTGCTTAAGGACAAAGGCACTCGACACGAGATCGAGCTCAAACCGGGCTCGAAGTACTGTGTCATGAAGCAGTGGCCACTGCCTCGTGAACAAGTACTAGCGATCGACAAGTTCTTTGCCGATCGCTTAGCAGCGGGTCATGTGAGGGAATCAACATCCCCTCACAGCTCTCCGACCTTCTGTGTGCGAAAGGCCACAGGAAGATGGCGGATAGTGCACGCATTCAACAAATTGAATGCTGCAACGGTACCGGCTCAGACGCCGATACAGACGAAGGACGTAATCATAGATGGTATGTCAAAGAGTACCATCTTTTCATCCATGGATCTGATGGACGGATTCTATCAGATCCTTATGCGTGAAAGGGACATCCCGATCACAGCAGTGAGTACCCCCAGCATGATGCTGTGGGAGTGGCTAGTGGTGCCACAGGGGCTGAGTAATGCCCCTGCAACATTCAACAGATGTGTTACAAATCTGTTGAGACCGGTGCGAGACTTCGCACCGAGTTACTTCGACGATGTGTTCGTTTACAGCCGGGCTATGGACGGAAAGACGGACGTTGAGGTTCATAGTACTCACGTCCGTCAGGTTCTTCAACTTATGCGCAAGCATAAGTTGTATGCCAATCTCAAGAAGTGTATATTCCGGCAAGCAAAATATCACTTCTTGGGTGCATCGTATGTAAACACGGCGTACGCCCTGATCCCGAAAAGATCAAGGCGATCACCGAATAGCTAGTGCCATCCGATGTTAAGGGACTTCGTAAGTTCCTTGGACTAGCGGCGTACTTGCACAAGTACTCGCGCAATTACGCCGAGATGACTGTTCATCTTTCTTGCTTGCTCGAGAAAGATGTGAAGTGGTCATGGAACGCTGACTGTCAGCGTTCCTTTGAGGGTATCAAGCAAAGCTTGATGCGATCGACCATCTTGGAGATTGCAGATCAGGACAGACCTTTTCATGTGGTCTGTGACGCCAGCGATTTTGCAATCGGCTGTGCGTTGATGCAATTTGATG